CTCCCAAGTAGCTGGAATTATAGCTGTGAGCCACTGCACCCAGTCAAGTTCAGTTTCTTTAGCCTTGCACACAACACCATCTGGGATATGGTACCTCAATCATGTACCCCATTTCCTACCACTTTTCCTTCTTGCAGCTTATATCTGCTTTATAACTGGAATAGACCAAAGAAGGAAGAGAAAAGGTTGATTGGTTTTTCCTGGAGCCATGCTCAGTTCTCTAAATCAGAATGGGATCTTTCCATTGAAACTAATCTCACCCCCTGGTTTCTATATCTCTTTAGTGTGACTTGAAGAACCCTTTGAATCTTAACTGTCCAGCTGTTAAGCTAAGGAATTCTACAAAGCAGTCCACTGAGATCTTTCATATCTTGCATAACTTCTGCTTTCACCATTACTAAAGTAAAATAGAAAATGTTTATGCTTTTATGTCATACTCAGGACAGTTTGTTTTGCTTGACATGATCAAGGATTTTGTGCTTTTTTTTGACTGACCCCCATTTGGCACACAGGAGAAGGTTATAACCCCCAAATCATTTATTTCTGGAAATGACTTAATGAATTATTTACATACCCTTCAAACTTGAGTTATATTTGGAAACCTTCCTAAACACTTCAAAAGTTGAATTCTTGATGTCATACCTGCAGTGAAATATCTTTGTAGAACTTTGTATTATTCAAATGTCCAGTGAAGAATAATAAATGAATCTTCATGGTATACTATCAAGGTTACCAAATGCCCGTTTTCTTTGAACTAGCTATCTAGCCATATCTAGCATCAAGATTATGGTTTGCTCAACCCTGTCCTATTTCTTCCGTTAGTGGCACAAGGAGGCAATTTCTATATAGTACATGAACTCATTTGTGAACAGCTTTCATGCTTATAATGTAAACTCTTAGATATGATTGGATGAAATTAAGACATCTAATACCAAATTAATTCTGATCTGTATTTAAAAGATGTTGGGAGAGGTGGGAAAATTAAAGCAGGGGGTGGTTAGAAGTCAGTAGATACTACGATGTCAAAAACTGAAAAATTAAGAAGTAATATTATAAACTTAAAAAGAGATAGAGGTAAAACCCCCAAAATCTGCTAAAGGAGATGAAAATAGCCTTCTCTCTCTAGGGAATGACAATGGTAAGGATCTCCAGGGAAGCAAGGAATGCAATTATTTTAGTAACTTACAGACTTCTTTTTTTTTTTTTTTTTTACTCTTTGTACATACTTGACCTTGTTACAGATAACAACAATGAATTCATGTGATTGTTGATTATGCCCAATGTGCACATACCTGTAAAATGCAGGAGAGGAGGAGAAGAGGAATGGAGTTGGCAATACAGTATCACCTATATCGGGGTCCCCAAGACCACCCTGACTAATGATTTGTGCTAAACATATAGTGCTACTCATGGGGAAGATTTATTACAGCGAAAGGATACATGGCAAAATCAACAAATAGAAAAGCTAAGTCAAATGAAGTCCACAGAAAGCCCAAGTGCAAGACTGTTTTCTGCCATTGGAGTCCCATAGAACATGCTTAGTCACTGCAGCAAGTGTTGTGACAGTACATGTGAGATGTCATCTGCCTGGAAGCTCCGTGCACCTCTGCCCAGCCCATGCAAGACTCCCAGAAGGAAACATGTTTGGCATAATTCACATTATTTAAACAATTTAGGCACCAAGGACCACTCTTACCATTCCAGGAATTTTTTTTTTTGTCACTGTAGGAACTGCTTCCCAGCAAATTTGCCAGAAGCCAGCCAAGGACCAACCTTGCAAACTGGTCTTTCTAAGGGTAGCAGTTTTTTTGTTAGCGGTATTTTTTTTGTTTTTTGGGGTTTTTTTGGCAGTATGGGAATTTGAACTCACAGCCTTGTATTTGTTAGGTGGGCACCGTACCACTTGGGCCATGCCCCCGATTTTTTTTTTTTTTTTGCTTTAGTTTTTTTTTTTATAGAGTTTAGCATTTTTCCCCAGGGCCAGTATTGGACTGCAGTCCTCTTACTTCAGCTTTCTGAGTAGCTGGGATGACAGGTGACAGGTGTGTACTGCCACATCTAGCTTTTTGAGATGAGGTCTTTCCTTGGCTAACCATATTGCTTCTGATCTGAGTAGCTGGGATTATAGATGTGAGCCACCCAGTCCAGTGGAATCTCATTCCTGTGCTAACTCCTTTCTACATACTGCCCTTCCTTGTAATTTATCTTGGGAGGTCCCACATGAAGCTAACCTTTGCTTTGTCTTTATTCCTTTTTATTCAGTTTGAACTTAGTGTTTAGAAAGACAAGAGTGAGGAAGATAGTTCTAAAATATCCTGATAACAGCAGAGAGAACACAAGGAGTAATACATTTTAGTTGAACAGTTTTTGAGATGGGAAGATAACAATCAGAAAAATGAGCACCTAATGTCAGTATCCTCCCCCTTCCAGATATTTCTCTATGTTTTAGTAGAAATCCTGTTTGCTTTGAAATGTGCTAGTTTTTTTTCACAACTAAAATGGATGCTGTTCCTATCTCTTCCTTTTATAAAACTATAGCCTTTCTTATTATTTATATAATTCACTAGAAATGTGCCTGTTCTTACCGAAGATTGCTTCTAGGAACCAGTGAAATTAGAGCTGAGGGTGTTCAACACATGCTGTAATGGCTCCTGCATTTGCCCCCCTCAACATCACTAAGAAATTGTTCTGTGAAATGTACAGACAAATTTTTTTTTCTGGGAAGTGCCTCAGACAGTGATAAGTGGCTAGCTGACTATAGGAATGTGGTTTTTCTTTTTGGAATGACCTAAAAATTTTTAATGACTTTATTCCACAAACCAAATTCTGTTGTGGGTTTGGCTCTACAAGTTCTTTTTTTCTTTTTTTTTGCTTGTGGTTATAAAAATGGAATTTGCACAGCTGAGTGCATATGAGCTAGGTGTTTGGCTATAAAACCTGTTATTTTCTTCCTGGTTGAATTTGCGTTTTTAAAGTTAGTGTTGTATTTGATTTGTAGACTGGCAGGTTATGGAAATCAGTATCGCAAAATGCTACCATGAGTAGCATGAGTTGTTTTTAGAAGATACCAAAGGAGGAAAGGTTGTTGACTATTAATCTCTTTAAGAATGATGATTTTAGTTTACGTTTTTGCCTCTCAACAAACTTCATTTTTTTTCTTGTTTATGTATAAGTCTATAAAATCACAATCCAAAAAACAAAAAAAAAGTTGATGAGATAGAAACATTTTCTGTCTTTCAGTAAAATAATCCATTCTAAAAGCAAGTGAGTTTGGAATTTTCCTGCTCTGTCCCTCCCTTCCTCTGCTGGGATCAAACCCAGGGCCTCACACATGCTAGTGAAATGCTCTGCCCAAGCTGTTTGTAACTTTTATGAAATACAATATTGTTTATTTGATTTTAAAAACTTGAGTTGGCTGTTGTCATCTATACAAGACAGACTTACCAGATTATTTATAGTACTGTGCTCCTCTTAAACCACATTCATATATATGGAGTAAATTTCCATGCAGTACATTTACCTCTGATGGAGAATTTTAAGGCACACGTCCATATCATTCTACCTTTAAGGCTATCTGGATGTACCATAGTTACTGCCCTAGAATGAAAAGTTACTTCCAGGTTTTTTTTTTAGCTACTATAAACAATATTTCAGTGGTTAGCCTTGAATATTCAGTTACAGAAAATTTCCGAGAAGTGCAAGTTGATTCCAGAATCCTGAATTAGTTTTTGTAGATCTTGTAACATTTTGAACATTCAACAACATATGAAAGAATCGCTTGCCCATGAACAGCAATATTTGGAAAACTTTCTAAGTGTCTATAGATGAGAAATCCAAAGTCACATAACTAACCAATGATGGGACTGTTTTCAGGGACTTGGTTTACAGTTGAAAATTTAGCCTTCTTTTCAACAAATTATAGTGGACCCTTGGTATCTATGGGTATATGGTTCCAAGAAGACCACTGTTCAAGATAAACCATAAATGGTCAGAATATATAGAGTTCTATACTCTAAAATTACTCAAGCTTATCTATATCATACATATGGTAGGTCTGAACATCCATAACTTGAAATTGCATGGAGTAGGCTAAATTACCATCACAAAAACTATATGCTAATACTGCTCACCAAAAAGTAGGTCTTATTTCATACTCTTTATCTCAGATATTTCAGATGCTTGATTCATTTATCCCTCAGTGCTGCCCATCTTCTGCTAAACACATGCCACCTTTCAACAAACCTAAGTTTTTCATTTATCACTTAAATTAAGCATGCTGTGTGGCCCTCTTTGGCTTGAGAGGATTAACATTTACCTTGCTTTGGGGGCAACATTTGCTTTTTGAGAGGCATATTTTCACAAAATTAACGGCAGGAAACATTCAGCAGGTCACTCATTGATTTAAACATAACTAACAATAACTAGAGACAGAGTTACGCAGCTATCAGATGAGCTGATGATGCATGCACAGGAATTTTTTTTTTTAATCACATTTGGTCAATACTGGTAATTTATGAGTAAGGTGATCTTACTATATACTGGATTTACTGTCTTAAAGTTAAGACATGCTGATAAAATATAATTTGTTAGCTGACAAAAGTGTATTTAAGGAGACCCTTCCCATTTTGTAAATTCCTGTGTCTGTATTTTCTGAGTTTTGTGGTCACAGAATGAAAGGATGGACTAAGGTAGTTATTTTCTATACTCACATTTGGGTAAGACGGGGTTGGATGAGAGTTCACACTTAGAATCTGTGTAGCCCACATGTGTGTTGTCTCTGGGCTTACAGATTTTGACTTTTCTGCATGGACACTAGCAATGTCATATGAGTAGCACTGATCCTAGTTCCTTCAACCTCATCTTTCATTGTTTTAGCTCTCCAGCATCAGAAGACAGAATAAATGTTGAATGTGCTTAAGGTTACTCTTAGAAAGTAGCTCATTTTATTTTCAATAAGATACCAGGTTTCTTTATGCACAACTTTTCTATTTGTTTCACAGTGGAAGATTGATGATAAGCCTGTAAAAATTGACAAGTGGGATGGATCAGCTGTGAAAAACTCTCTGGATGATTCTGCCAAAAAGGTACTTTCTGGAGGCAGGATTTATGAGCATATATACAAGTGATGGCGCATCTCTTGGAGGGTCTTTTTCTTCTCTTACTTGGAGAGACCATAATTTTCAATGTTAAAAATTTAGCCAGAAAGCAATCTCAAATTCTCACAGAATAAATAGGGAATAATATGTTAAGATACAATGTTGGCTATCTCAAGAAAATCGATAATTGTTTTGATATTAATTAGCTTAGAACCAAGAGGGTTGAGAGAAGATAAAGACATTCATCCATGATTAGTGGTCTTTCCATTTGAAAAGGGAAAAGCAATTTTTAGCTATATCCTATGGGAACAGGTGAGACTTAAAAAAAAAAAAATTACAAGGAGTTGGTGTTTATTTTTTTCTGGATCCTTTAAAAACAATTTAATTCTTCTTTGTTTAGAGTGAAAATATAACAGTTGGAGAGAACTCTGATAATTCATATAGTTCTCAACATAACTTTTTATCATGGAAATCAAGAATAAAAGCAGATGGTAGGAAAGAAGCACTCCTGTTACATTGAGCTCTTGTTCTTCTTACTAGGTACTTCTGGAAAAGTATAAGTATGTGGAGAATTTTGGTCTAATTGACGGTCGCCTCACCATCTGTACCATCTCCTGTTTCTTTGCCATAGTAGCATTGATTTGGGATTATATGCACCCCTTTCCAGAGTCCAAGCCAGTTTTGGCTTTATGTGTCATATCATATCCTTTATTTGTGTTTAGGTTTGTTTTCTAGTAACAATTTTTTTAAAAATCTATACTGTTACTTCTCTCTGCTTCTTATAAAAAACTTTTATCTTAAGCTTTGCCAATTTTAGAATTTAGCATGAGCTGTGAGCATCTGTAAATCTGTGTGGTGGTGTTGATATTTTAGGTTTATATAGTTATTTTATCTGTAGAGCACATAATTAATGTAGAGGTTTTTATAATCATATGAGCACTTACTAGCAAAAATCACACAGTGAGACCCAGCTCTTCTCACTTGTAGCTCAGAACTTTACCCATTAGACCAACCTGATTTAAGCCACTTGTTCCAGATTAGAAAAGCACTGGATTTTAGAGGTTCAGATCTGTGTCAGTTTCCTTGAACCTAAAGGTCTGGCCTCAGCTCCTGAGCATGAGGTATGAGTTAGACCTGTGTTACAGTGGGATTAAGAACTTCTGGTTCACACACATGGATTTGAACTCCAAGGTGTTTGTGTTTTTGTGCTAATAAGAAACTTTTTTGAAGATTGCAGTTTGAAGCAGCCCCCAGCAAAAAGACCCTATGTCATTTGTCAGGCTGGAGGTGTGGCTCAAGTGGTAAGGGTGCCTGCTGGGCAAGTACAAGACCTTGAGTTCAAACCCCCAGTACTTCCCAAAAAAGAGAGGGAAATTCACTTATCTTCTAATGACCTTTGAAATTGGTTGAAAAACATGGTCAAGTCTACTGTGACTATTAATAATTTGTTTGTTTTGTTTTTCTTTCTGGTTTGAGACAGGATCTCATGTAGCACTTACAGTCCTCCTGCCTCAGCCTCCCAAGTGATGTGATTATAGCCGTGTGCCACCACATGCCTGGCTAGGTTTTTTATTAGAGAAATTAGCACAAATTATAATAAAATCTTGATAAGCTAGGTAACAGCATCTTCTGCCTGTTTTCTGTGAATGGAAAAGATAAGAGTAAAACTGTAAGAATGGTCATTACCTTTTGGTGGTACTGGTGTTTGAACTCAGGACCTCACATTTGCCAGGCAGACCCTCTACCACTTGAGCCAAGCCCCTAGCCCTTTTTTTGTGGAGAATTACCAGAGAGAACCTTGTTTGTCTTGGCACATAAAGAAAGGATGAAAATGAAATAGTTAACATATCAGTGCTTTTGCAGTAAGGCAAAACTGTCTTCTTTAGGACCACATGAAAATTTTGGGGACTTTTGCTTGTCAGTTTTTGTTATTTCTCTTTTGTTTGTATATTTTCCCCTTAACTTTATTTGAACCTATTTTGTGATGATGGGGATTCTGACCATTTATACCTCATATAAGGAGAAGAGCATCTTTCTCGTGGCCCACAGGAAAGATCCCACAGGGATGGATCCCGATGATATTTGGCAGCTATCCTCCAGTCTCAAAAGGTAATGATTATCCTTACAGTCATTATTCCTGGTGTTGAATTTGCCCTGGGGTGTTGTCATTATTAGCAGTGGATTATTGTGTGCCTGCTCTATGCAAATCATAGTATTAGTTGCATAAAATGAAGAAGTGGGTATGAATAATCTAGAAGGTTTTTCCTGGTTCTGCAATTCTGAGACTGCATTACTGCATTATCATAGAAATGCTCTAAAGATAAAACCGGGCCAGAAAGTACTTTGGAGGAAGAATGATTCATTTTTCTTTGTGGCCAATTAATAAAGACCAAAGATATGAATCAGTTATCTATGTCTTCTGTGATCCTTACTGCAATGTGAATGCAGCCAAGAATCTCTAGAGCAGAGTGCTGTATACAACTCTAAAAAGTACAATCTAGAGTCTCCTCCTGATTAATGATGAGTATAATATAATTTTGTGTATCTGACACACATGTGTTTATAGGTACTCAGAACTGGGTTCATCGTCCAGTCAGTCCTTTTCTAGCTGTATGGCTTTTGGTAAATCATGTAAACTTGCTGTGCTTTAGTAAGGTAAAAAATGACTCCCTAGAATTGTTGGAAAGATGAGGTGCCCATTGTAATAGCAAACATCTGTTAAACAGTTATTATGTATTTGGTATTGTACTAAATGCATTATCTCATTTAAACCTTAGAATGCCCATTTATAGATAAGAACACAGGCCCAAAAGGTTAAATTAATTCTTCCATGATCATACAGCCCAAAAGTGCTAGAGTAGGAGTTCCATCCCAAGTTGGAGCACAGAATTCATACTCTTAGTCCCTAACTAAAAACAAAACCCTCTCTTGTTACCTGTGCTACACCTGATTATGTGGAGTTGTGTGCATGTCTGTGTCGTCTCCTGCGTTTCACCCTTTGCTTCTTAGTGTGAGCTCCTTTACCATTTGTTATATACTAGATACTAAAGCCCAGGAAGGGACTGTCTCATATACCTCTGAGTTCCCAGACCTAGCCCAAAGTCTGGCATAGTTTAGATGTATAGAAAATTTTGTTGTGTGAATGATTGAAATGCACCTGGGCTTGGCTGCAGCCTTGGTCTCCTAATTTGCAACCAAGTTATTGTTGGCCATCTACAGAATCCCTTACAACCTAGTCTCCTCTCTGAAAATATTCTTCTTTTTCATGTTCTAAGCAAAACCTGAAGGCACATTTTCCCTGCACTCCACAAGTGGTGACTGATGTTTGTCTCATAGCTTTCATGACCCTGATAGTAGAGATGGAGATTAATCTCCCTTTTGCTTCACTTTGCTGCTTCCAGTTCATCTACATCTGTCCCTAAAACATCACTTTAAATTGCATGTCATCATGTTTTGGCACTTCTTTTCCTCCTCACTGCAGGTAAATACAGACCTACTCTTTTCCTGAAGATAGCTCCTGACTCATGGGAACTGTCTAATGTATGTCCTTTCATAAAGTCTTGGTGGTTTACGTGTCCACATAGATGATTATTCCAGTACTCTGGCCTCTGTTTTACATCTTCTCCAATTCTTGTTTTCTACTGTTTCTTTTTCTTTTTGGTGGTACTGGAGATTGAACTCAGGGCCTCATGCTTGCTAGGCAGATACTCTACCACTTGAGCCACTTCATTAGTCCTGTTTTGTGTTGGGTATTTTTGAGATAGGGTCTTGGGAACTATTTGCCTTGGGGCTGACTTCGAAAACCACAGTCGTCTGGTTCTCTGCCTCCTAAGAAGCATAGCAGGATTATGGGTTTGAATCACCTGCTCCTGGCTTCTACCATTTGTTAAGCACTTATTTCCACAGGTAAACCCTAGACTTTGCTATTATTGATAACTAATTACCTTTATTCATTTCAGTTTCAACTATCCCACTTAGACCATCGCTTCCTGTTTTTAGTTATTCTACTGTTCTCCCAAATGGGTCTTCAGTTCCAGTGACACCTGTAATCCACTGAGTCCACCAACTTTTCATTGTCTTTTTCCCCCTTCTTTACCTGGCTTGGATCCCGCTGTATTTCTGTAGTCAGTTATTCTTTTACTATCTTGTAGTATCTTTCATACCTTCTGTTACCTCCAGACCTCCTCTGCCTCTTTTCCTGTCTTTTCTCTGTTTTCTTTTGTTGAAAAGACAGGAAATCAGAAGTCTTCCATCATTATTCTTACATATTCTGTGATGGATACAGTGTCCATCATATTCACTCTTTCTTCTTTCCAAGTTCCTCTGTAAAGCCTTCCTTTCATTGGTTCACTTGATCCTGTCCCTTTTCTCTTACCTGCCCCTTCTCCCTATTGGGTCATTCCTTCTAACATACAAGCATATTATAAATTCTTCCAACTGAAAAAAAATTTTCTTTGCCCTTAGTTCCTCACATGGGCTTCTCATTTCTCTGCTCCGCTTTTCCTCTTCTGTTATCACTTGGATCTGCTCCTGTCTTCTCTTTCCCATCCTTTGTGGCCTATTTGGTTACTATCTTCCTTTTTTTTTTTTTTTTTAAACTAGGCTTCTAGGATACCATACTCTTCGAATTTTCTTTGTATCTTGTCTTCATTCTCCTTTGAGACTTGTCATTTTCACTTCTAAATTTGAAATGCCACCAGGGCTTATTCCTAGAGCTACTTCTTTATATTCACTTGCTAGGTGAAGTATTAATGTGAATTTTCAATAGCTTCTACATAATAAAGATCTCTAAGTCTACACTTTTTATTCTGTACCTCTTCTCTGAACTGTAGGCATATCCCAGCTCTTTCTTGAGCATTGAATTCTCCTAGGCACCTGAAGTTTGCATGTCTAAAACCTGTCTCTGTTCTCTAAGCCTGTTCTTCCTTTCAGTTTTCCCCTCAATGGCAGTTCCATTCTTACCAAACTTGGGAATCATTTGGACTGCAGCTTCTTTACTCTGTTAGGTCTACCAACTAAATGTGTTCAGTCTGACCATTTACCATCCCCATTGCTGCCATTAATCTCTCACTTAATGTTACCATCAGGATATTCTGATGGACCCCTGCAGCTACTTTCTCTGCCCATAGCCCATTGCCAGCAAAGCTGGCACAGGGATCCTTCAAAACTGTAAGTCACATTAACTCAAACTCTCAAATCTATAAAAAAGGTAATTTCCTAAAGATGACTTAACGGTTCACAGATACCTCATTTGTGCACTCTACATTACATGTACAACACATACTCACCCCCTATGGCTCTCATCCTCTCCCACTTTATTCTGCTCACCTTGGCTTGTTCTTGCCTTTGTACTTGCTACTACCTCTGCCTAGAGTATTCTTTTCTCAGATAACTTGTTCTCTCACCTTTTCTAGAGCTCTACTCAAGCATTTACTTAGTGAAGCTATTCCTGATTATTATATTTAAAAGAACGTACTTTTTTTTTTTCTTTCCTTTTTTTTTTTTTGATAGTACTTAAGTTTGAACTCCTGGCCTAATTTACTTGTTAGGCAGGCACTCTACAACTTGAGCCATGCCCCAGCCCTCAATTGCTTTAGGTATTTTTCAGATAGGGCCTTGAATTTATGCCCAGGTGGGCCTGGACTGAGATCCTTCTGTTTAAGCTTTTGGCTTAGCTGGGATGACAGGTACATGCAACCTCACCCAGCTTTTTATTGGTTGAGATGGAGTCTCATGAACTTTTTCCCAGACTGGTCTCCAGTGGTGATCCTCCTGTTCTCTCCCTTGTGAGTAGCTAGGATTACAATATGAGCCACCATGCGCGGCTCAGTTTTTCTTCTTGTCTGTTTACTCACATTAAAATCAAAGTCCTAGAAGCCAAACATTTGTATTATTCACTTCAGTTGATCCTTAGTATCTACAACTTCCTGACACATATAGGTAGAGCTCAATAGATACATGAACTAATGAATATTTCCAAAATGCATCAGATCATAGCTCATCAGATCATGTCCTGCTATTAAAGCAATGTAACTGCCACTAAAACTGGACCCAGAACTGGAGGGATGGTTCAAGTGGTTAAAATCATAAGGCCCAGAGTTTAAACTCCAGTAGTGCCACACACACACAAACCCAAAAGTCCAAAATTACTGTGATGTCAGTTAGTACAAATGGCCAGAACTTGAGGACATCCTTTGAGGTATTGGAAAGTTCAGGGAGCTTTACTACTAGTTACCCAAGTTCGAAGTTACTCCCTAGATCAATAATTTGAGCACTAGTTAACAGTAAGCACAATTCTAACCATAACAGTAATCTTAAAAGCAAGTGGAGATTTTCCCACTTTAGACATGCAGAAATAGAGCCTGGACAAGCTGTTTCTTCATCTAAAGATGATGCTAACTTGACAGTCTGCTAATATGCTCTCATAAATGGTGACCAGAACAGTTGGTGAGGGTGTCAGCCTATCAGAAACTGGTGTCAATAAACTATTAAATTACCCTCTTCTCTGGAGTTCATGTAGTAAAGCAGTAGGCCTCAGGGGTCAGTAGAACCCAGAATTTGATTGTTAACAGATTGCAAGGGCTAAGCAATGTAGAATTGGGGGAGGGGAGTGCTCTTTAAAAACAAGGATTCTTCATTTATTCATAAATAAGGGTAGAAAACAAGACAAAAATCCTTGCCCTCAAGAACCCCCCAGTCTGGTGAAGAGCACGACTGTATAGCCATCATTTGAATACAGATCATTTTGTTGATAGCATGGGAGCCTGTCATTGTTACCAGGCTGAGTGATCCAAGACAACACTAGTCCAGAAGATCCCAAGTTCTTGTGTCACCAGAACAGAGAACTGGACAGAGACACAGTAGCAAAACTCTATTGAAAAAAAAGGGAAGGAAGAGTAAGACAAAGTACTGCAAGAGAAGCAATGTGCTCCTTCCAGGTGGCATGTGATAAGTTATAAGGTGGGAAAAATCTGTTCAGTCCTTAGGTAGGGGCTAGGGTGGCTGGCAGGCTTAATTAACACAGCCTTATCATGTAACTCGGGGGTATTCTGCCCATGTGCTTATGTTAATTTTTAGGCTTTTAATTGTATTACAAAGTCTTAAGTAGAGGACTTTGTTTGAGAGGTCAAATTTGGGGCAGGCCTCCTTTTGCCAGAGAAGCCAGACCCAGAGGCACCTCTTTGGACACTGTTTTGCAAAAGATTTTTACAACTTAGAGGGGATTTATTGCTTTTGAGATGGTTCAGGGTGGTGCTGGGGGAATAGTGAAAAAAATCTAGCATGAAGATACCACGTTGGTTAACAAAAGGGAGTCCCATAGTGAGTTATTATTTTCCCTGTTTGCTAGCTTGCCTCAGTTAGACTAGGCATGTATAGGTACTGAGTATTTGAGTTGAATATTGATTGAAGGGGCTGAGGAAGAAGATAACACTTGTGACCCAGATTGGGTGGGTTCAGGAAGACTTGCCCAGGAAAGTTTTATGGCCACGTATGTTGTTAACAAATGAGAACTAGTCAGGTGAGATAGGAGATCATGGCAAATACAGAGTCCATAGGTGAGAGAAGATGATTCATATGGCTTAACAGTTTATGACAAGTTAAGGGAGGTATACTCAGAATTAGTATCTTGAAGGCAGTTAGGACCCCTGGGTGGTTTTTGTTTAAAATGTTGTGTGAGGTACCTGTATCACAAGTGCCAGCTTTTTCCCATCCTTCAAAAACACTTGTATTGCTTCTGGTTGACTCTCTGGTTTTTGTTATCTTTGCCCTGATTCTTAGGTTCGATGACAAATACACCTTGAAGCTGACCTTCATCAGTGGGAGAACAAAGCAGCAGCGGGAAGCCGAGTTCACCAAGTCCATTGCTAAGTTTTTTGACCACAGCGGGACACTGGTCATGGATGCATATGAACCTGAAATATCCAGGCTCCATGACAGTCTCGCCACAGAAAGAAAAATAAAATAGCCAATTCTAAAAGCAGCCTTCTTTCTGCTGGATCATGCTGAATTATTGGGTTGGGAGGTGGGGTAAGCACTTAACATGGGTAAAATAAGAAATGTTTAAAATGTCCCTGTTCTGTCCTGAAAATTTAGTCCATTCTGGATGAACAGGATTTTCTAGCACAGACACGAGAAGTTGTAGCTCTGATGTCTAGCTGTAGCTTCCTTGGTCTGCTGATTGTGTTCTGATTTGCTTTTCTAGAAAAGCATTTTTGCTAAAAGCCGTACAGACTTTTTCCTTTGTACCCAGTAGTACTTTATATAGTATACCTTTGTGTCATGCAGCATTTGAAGACTCAATTTTTAAAAATTGTTAATCTCTTGCTAACTTTGTGTTAATTCCTGCTTCACCAACAGTTTCCCTGATGAATTCAGGATACAACTTCTTGTGTATGACAGCTTTCCTTCGCACACCATTTTTGTGGGTGTGTGTATAAAACTGATTTGAGAATTTCATTTAAAAAAAAAACAGCTTTTTAATTTGTTTAAGAGAGACCTTCTGCCTGTTACATTTTGTGCTCTTAACCAATTAAAGAAGCCAATGGCATTTTTAGTTTTATATTGTCTGTTTTCCACCAGTATATCCCTGTTGATTTGTTTGTGCCCTTTATTAACTGCCATTTTCTAAAATTTTTTTCAATAAAAGGAAAGAAGATGTGAAAAAGTAGAGTGATAGTCTTTATGGAAGGAACATGGCAGCAAGTGTTAACAGTTCTACTACTACCGTGATTACTTTCGTTTCTAGGCTGTTTCACTGTTCAGAGGTCCCTGAGAACCTTGTAGCTAAGAACTCTTAGCTCTCCAGTGATAAAAAGAGTAACAATAACAACTCTCAGTACTTACTTTGTATTCCAAGTACTTTACATACATGAACTCACTAATGCTCACAGCATCTTTTTTTAAGTGATCTACTGACCTACTTAAAGTGACTTGACCTACTTAAGGCTTCTATAGTGTTTTTATTTTTTCTTACAGGAATTCTAACTATGTTGAAATAAGTCCTGTAGTTTGTTTTTGAGACAGTGGTTTATTCTGTTGCCCAGGGTGCCCTTGAACTCACCCTCAGAAGCAATCCTCTGCCTCAGCACTGAACTACCTATAACCACAGGTGCATGCCACTGTGCCCAGCTTCATAATTTGGCTTTTTTTTTTTTTTTTTTGGTGAGACTGGGGTTTGAACTCAGGGCCTACCATTTGAGCCACACTTCCAGTCTACTTTGCTGTGGTTATTTTTTTATGATGGGGTCTTGAGAACTATTTGCCCTTGCTGGCCTTGAACAGTGATCCTCCCAATCTTAGTTTCCCAAGTACCTAGGATCATAGGTGTGAACCACCAGCACTCTGCAATAATTTGTTACACATAGTGTTTTGTAGGTACTTCAAAATACTGTAAATAGGTCAAACTTGTTTATAATAGCTGCATAGTATCCTCATATGCATATTTTTACTTTAACTGTTTTCCTAGTGATAATATTTTTTTACCCCAGTTTTTCACTATCCCAACAGGAGTATGGTTGGGAGAGGGGGAAAAATAGGTCCTAAAGTAAGAGACAGGAGACCCGGGTTGTTCTAGTCTTGTTCTAAGTTATGACCTTGGGCAAATCTCATTCATTCTCTAGAGCAGGAGGTTTTAGATAATTTATCCTTTTGATATGAAGATTGCTTACACCCTAGAAATGCCTACACACACAGGATGAAAAATATAAGTGCCATAGTCCCTAATACTTGCCCATAGATCCACTTGGAGACTTCTTGCACTGCATGAATCTCTTAATGAAATTATCTCCCCAACTCCAGAAAACAGTTAAGGCAATTTAGGTATGTTGAAGAAGTGGGTATCAGCCCAACGGCTTATAGTTATCCCACCTCCACCTTTGCACCTGTTGTGTTTTAGGACAATTGCCCATCAAGTGAACCAAAAATACCCTCTGCAGGGTCAAACCTCATGACCAATGCATTCTGGGAGGCTGCAGAGCATCTCTGGCCTGGTGTCACACATGAATCTATTGAGTGATCACTTCAGCCTATTTTTGATGCTCCTGGGGTGCTCTTTACACTCTGGCAGGTCTGCAGCATCCTTCCCACTAGGAAACCCTGGCACCCATCACACTATCCTGGTTCTCGGCTCTTCACACCTGCCTCAGTGGACTTAAGTCTTCCAAAACAAAAAGGACCACTAAGGAGAGGGGAAAGATCTAATATTTTTCATTACTTAACAATATTCAGATGCTAATCTGTTTACTGTGTGCACAGTGCCTTTATATATCTTAGGAATAGTACAGTTTTCTTCAGAACAACCTGAGGGAATGGAAGAAGATAACAAAGTCTCACTTTGTGTTTGTTCTTGGTTCACATGAAAGGGAGCCCCTGGGCCATTCCTCAGTGTTCTGTTGGCGGTTAGCTGCCCTGAGATGAGCGGGTTTTCTTACTACTCACAATAAAAGGGTTGAGTCCTACCAGTCAGGATCTGCTCATGGAGGTATCCATCTGACCTACCTGCAGCATGTTTGCAAGTAGGGCTGCAGGGAATTGGCAGACATCATGCTCATGTAGGCAGTACCGTAAGTAATACAGTTGTCTCTGACCTAGCAGTCTCATATCTTCTGCAACATCCATGAAAGAACAGCAGGCTACCAGTTAGCTTGCAAATAGGATAAAATTCTAGATTCTGAACAGACTGAAAGTTTTGCTAACAAGGATGGGATCCTATCAGATACAGATTTCTGGGAAAGACAAGGGCTTTCATGGGCAAGGTTAGGGGATGTGAGATTTCCTGGGATCTGGTAGCAAATGCTGTCAAGTGAAGGGAAAGGGAATAAGAGGCCCCCATTGTCCTACCTATTATTTTGAGGCTGAGCAAGCAAGAGGTAGGACTGAAACACATTGCCCAAATAGAATGTAGGTTGTTGTCTCTGGACAGGAGGCAGAATGGATGTTATAAAATGAAGCAGCAAGTCCACACATGAACCCAAATGGAAGAGCAATATGCCTGTGGCCAGTAAGCAAAGGGTTTCCCAAGGTAAAATAAATGATGGCAGAAATAAGGATATGTAGGGTTTGGGGTTTTTTGTTTTTTTGAGACAGGACCTTGTTATAGCGTAGCCTAGGCTGGTCATGAAATCTTGATCATCCTCCCTTCTTCCTAAGTGTTGGCATTTTGGCATGCACCACCAAACCCAGTGCATATAGAGCTTTGAATGCACCAAAAATACTTGTTTAGTCCAAGCAGGTGGCCACTTGAATTAAGCAAATCCATGGCTTCATCAGCTGGCACAAAACCATTCTCTTCCTTTGTACCACTGATCCTGACCCCTCTCTTGCTTCAGGGAGGAAAGCTGTATATTGTAGGGAGGAGAGGCCAAGTCTCCATCCTGTGGTCCCATGAGGGCAGGGAGCCCCTGTGCATCAGAGTGATCAAAAAATGCCAATGACTACAGGGCAGAAACAGTGGCATTCAGAAGGAGAAAAAAAAAAACACTGAAGGAACTCCTGAACCCTGTGTGCTCCAAGGGGAAAAGGCCTCCTTAGCCAAGCTGTCCCTTGCAGAGTAGGCCCTCCTTTCTCTTGATGTCCCCCCATGCCTGTCTAGGAGGTAAGATTTTATGGTGGCTGTGATCTCTGACATATCTATGTTAAATTGCTTGGTTTGAGTTCTCAAAGGGGAGAAAAGTCACCTGAACTCAACTGATAGGTTTTTCAAACTTCTGGGCAAAGTTTTCAGTGGTAAAGGAAAATTACAATCTGTGTGTGAAGCCACCAAATGGGAGATTTAATGTATGTCTCCAATTCAGAGACTGCTGCACAGAGAGAAGTGTGTTCTAGAATATAGAATTCCAAGAGAAAAATCACATTATTAACTGAAAACACAGATAATCCTGGGCCTTACCCAGTGCAGCAGGGCTGGCTACTTGTACTTTGCAGACACCACATACACCCTTTAAAAAGTGGGCAACTCTTAGGCTGCTACTGAGCTCTGTTGGAACTGAACATTAGACCCATGGAAGCCTTTTAACTCTGGTCTAATTTGGGCCAGGTTAATGCAGGCTTTATGTATTATAACAGGTATTATTTTATCATACATTATTTCCCTTTTAATTGTTTTCATTGATTTAAAAATATTTATATGGGTAGAATCTTATTTCTAAATTTCAGGATAGTAAAGTGAATGTTAAAATATATAAACTGTAAGGGTCTGACAGTGCTGGTTTAATTTTAGGATACCAGCAAATGCTTTTACAGCACCTGTGACTGTCAGTTCTTATCACTTTAGTTTCCTATCTGCTCTTTCTGTTCCTGGGGTTTTCCCTTTCTTTCATCCTCAGCTGTGTCACAGGCCTTCACTGAAGGAGGACCTGGAAAGTGGGTCCTAGTGTACATTACAACAAGGAAGCAGAATCAACCCATCCCTGTGGCAGAGCCTCAGACTCTGAATGAAGCACTAAAAATGGCTGAGTTATTTTAGTATTTTAGAAGTAAAGCTATATTTTCTCTGTCATCTTGTTAGGATTAATAAATAAAGTCCCTTGGCCAGCCTTAAAGGAAAGCTAATGATAATTTTCTATTTTCCTCCTTCTATGCTTATTAATTGGAATTCTACTGTAAGGAAGAGCTGTCACTTCTCAATTTATTTATAAAATTAGTAATCATATCAATATAGAGTTGGTTTTTATTTTTATTTATTTTTGGTGGTACAGGGATTTGAACTCAAGGCTTTGTGCTTGCTAGGTGGGGCACTTGAGCCGTGCCTCCAGCCCCTGGTTTTTGTTTAATTCTATGAGTTATATAATAAAATACTACAACATGTTCCCATCCAACTGGTTTTCAGGCCACGACTATTAGGAGCTCCTGTGTGAGAAAATCCTGTCCCTATGATCTTTTCTTCCTTTAAAAGGTACCACAAGATGTTCCACAATTGTCTTGTATTTTTCCCTGCTCCAGCTCTATAATCAACTATAAAGAGTCTGGTTTCTTTTATGAAAGAATAATATTAGAAAACAAGATCTAGGGACGGGTGCTCATTATTACTGGGAAGATTTTCTCATAACTGCAATACCATTATCACTCCTAAAAATGAACAATTCCTGAATATCACCTAATATCTGGTCACTGATTAAATTACTCTAGTTGTCTCAGGTATTTTTTAGAGATGACTTATTCAAATGGGGATCAAAAGAGATTTAGTTTTTCTTTAGTTGATTTTTAATTTTAGCCTATAATACTTTTCCCACCCCTTTTTCCTTTTACACATTTGCATCCTGATAGTGACATTTAACATGTTTTCTACTGCTGATTCAGTTTTTTGTTTGGGGTTTTTTTCAGTGCCAGAGATCAAACTCAGAACTTCTAGAATGCTAGGTAAGAACTCTACCACTGAACTATACTTAGGATTGATTATTTTTTGTCAAGAAAATTTCATAGAGGAGGCTGTATAGTTTTATTACATTAAATCAGGAGGCCACATAATATCTGCTTGTGATATCAAGTGAGCTCAGATGTTTTTGACCTGATCCTTCTATTATAAAATTTTGTACCAACCATTCATCTGATGGTTTTAGCAACCATTGCTAACTGTCTAGATTCATTATCTCATTAGAGGTTGCAAAAAAAGGGAAATTACATCATTCCTTTGCAATTATTATTTGATTCATTTATAAAAGAGAATTTTTTTCCATCATCATGAATAATAGTTTGAATAGGAAAGGCAGAAATAAAAGCTTGATTCTTTCCTTAGCAGCATCTGAAGTGACACAGAGACTTTTCCCTCCATATTGATATGTGAATCTTCCTTTAAAAGGTACCACAAGATGTTCCACAATTGTCTTGTATTTTTCCCTGCCAGCTCTATAATCAACTATAAAGAGTCCTGGTTTCTTTTATGAAAGAATAATATTAGAAAACAAGATCTAGGGACGGGTGCTCATTATTACTGGGAAGATTTTCTTATAACTGCAATACCATTATCACTCCTAAAAATGAACAATTCCTGAATATCACCTAATATCTGGTCACTGATTAAATTACTCTAGTTGTCTCAGTGTATTTTAGAGATGACTTATTCAAATGGGGATCCAAAAGAGATTTAGTTTTTCTTTAGTTGATTTTTAATTTTAGCCTATAATACTTTTCCCACCCCTTTTTCCTTTTACCATTTGCATCCTGATAGTGACATTTAACATGTTTTCTACTGCTGATTCAGTTTTTTTTTTGGGGTTTTTTCAGTGCCAGAGATCAAACTCAGAACTTCTAGAATGCTAGGTAAGAACTCTACCACTGAACTATACTTAGGATTGATTATTTTTTGTCAAGAAAATTTCATAGAGGAGGCTGTATAGCTTTTATTACATTAAATCAGGAGGCCACATAATATCTGCTTGTGATATCAAGTGAGCTCAGATGTTTTTGACCTGATCCTATTATAAAATTTTGTACCAACCATTCATCTGATGGTTTTAGCAACCATTGCTAACTGTCTAGATTCATTATCTCATTAGAGGTTGCAAAAAAGGAAATTACATCATTCCTTTGCAATTATTATTTGATTCATTTATAAAAGAGAATTTTTTTCCATCATCATGAAATATAGTTTGAATAGGAAAGGCAGAATAAAAGCTTGATTCTTTCCTTAGCAGCATCTGAAGTGACCACAGAGACTTTTCCCTCCATATTGATATGTGAACCCATGAATTTTTAACATTTAATCCAATCCTTTGATCCTTTGCAGGTTTGGGTTTTTTTTTGTTGTTGTTGTTGTTTTGTTTTGTTTTTTGATAGGTCTGGGGGGGTGGGACTGCTTGAGCCACACCTCCAGTCCATTTTACTCTGGTTATTTTGAAGATAAGGTTCTAAGAACTCTTTGCCTGGGCTGGTCTCCAAACATGATCCTCTGGTCTTAGTCTCTCAAGTAGCTAGGATTACAGGCATGAGCCACCATGCCTGGTTCATTATTCTTTTTGATGCTCAAAATTTTCCATATTTAGCAAGTGGGATCATCTTCAAGTTGGTGCTTGCAACATGACTAAGAGTCTTTTATAGCTTCTTTGCTTTCTGGTAGGACAAGATATTGTAGGATTATCTTATACAAAAACTTTCCTTTAGGAGGAAATAGTATTATTTGGGCTCACTGCTATTGGGTTAGTCTGATTCTAGCACTCCTTTTTAAAAAAAAAAATACATCAGGATTGTATTTGAGGTTGGCTTCTGTGCTTCTGAACTCTTTTTTACTTTATCACAAAACACAAAAAAATCCAGACTTACCTTGTATTTTCTCTGTATCGGTGAATTTAAACTGGAGAAGTTTAAATTTTTTACATCTTCTAACTTAGCAGCCTGTCTTTCCCTCTATTCATGTTTGCCTAATCCTTTATGTGGTACGTGGGCTCCAACTTAAAAATGACCTTTACATTGTTTTTACTGCTCCCTGTTTGGAGTTCTTGATGGCTTCCTATCAGAAGAATCAGACAGAGGCACATAGTTCACAGAAGTAGACGGGCTTTATTCTTACACTGGAACACAAGAGCCAGTGTGTGGTGGGGAAGAAAACCCCAAGCCTGACACAAACCAGAGAAAGGAGAACAAAGGTTTATGATGTTCTTTCAGGGACAGGGACCTGGTCCTTCTCGTGCCAACACCACATGGTATAGGGTGGGTGTCTCACAAGTCGTTCCAGTCGTTCCAGTCGAGCGCTGTGGCACTCGATCATTCATCCCATGCATCCGCATGCCTCATTATGCTGTGAAATTCTCCAACCTTGGGATGTGATATTTTTACTATTGTAATTGATGTTTGTATATATTACACGCATATTAATATATTATTTATATATCTTTGCCATATATAATGCAAATATAATAGAGGAGTGTCACCACTATTGTTTCAGAGAAGAAGTAAAGTTAATTATCTTGGTGTATTCTTTATAACTAATTATAACTGCGTCACAGAGTGGATAAAACTATTTTTGATAGGCCACGTGTACTTTGTGTTTTCATCTCCCTTTTCCCTATTTCCTGGTAGTTCTTGTTGATCACATAGTTTTTGAAGAGCTGATTTGAATTGTTTTATTTGGTTCTTGCCTCCAATCATTTGCGTCTTCCTTAGATGCACTGTCTCAAGATGAGACATTTCCCTTTTTTGGTCGGGGGTGGACGTGGTCCGTAGTTTCCATGACTGTGAAGACAGTAGAGTAGGTGACACACGTATGTAATAAATTATATAAATGTATTTTAATTTGTTATTTTTTTTGCAAGGGGCGTGCCACCTGCTCTGGGGCCCTGGATCTTTTCTGTAGTGCCCTTTGAGGCCCGGAACCTTTGTTCCACTCTTAAACAGTCAGGGAGTTTTAGGGCGGGATTACCTACCGACGGACCAACACATAGACGAGAGCGTGGGGTCCCGCGCTTAGAGCAAGCGAAGAGGGACGCCGGAATGGGCGGGCTGGCGCCGGGGGCGGAGCTGAGGCTGTGGGCGGGGCTAGGCTGAGGCTGAGAGCCGGGCTGCACCGTGGGCGGGCTGGCGCCGTGGGCGGAAGCCAGGGCTGGGGGCTGTGGGTGACCTGTCCCGGGTCGTGGGCGCGGGAGGGTACACCTGGCTGCTGCAGACCACCTGCGGGCCGACTGCGGCAAACCAGCTTCCACCCTGGGCCTGTCTGTGGCGCCTTCTTTCCTACCAGCTCCCCGCGGTTTGTCTCCATGTCCGCAAGTTTCCTCTTCCTCTCTGTTCATCTCTCCAGCTTTGTGCAGGTCATCTCCTGTCCCCGTGAGCTCCGGAAAGCGCCTCGCGTGGAGCCGGGGTCCCGCGCAGGTGAGCCGGGTTGGGAGACAGAAGAGCCAACAAAACCACTGCCAATCTTGAGGGAATATGGAGTCAGAGCCACAGTCCGGTAACTAGACTGGTCATTCTATTTGCGTTTTCTTCCCAGTGAAGCCAAACTTAAACCTCAGTTTACCATTGTGGAGATGAAGGGGAACCGAAACAGGAAAACCATTCTAACCCCAAAACGGGGAAGAGTAGTGGGCGACAAAAGAGTAGTGAGCTGGAATTTAGGATGCCTAGGACTTGGTCCAGGTTTTGCTACTTAGTGGCTTTATGTAAGCGTTTCCCCCCTCCAAAGCCAAGCCATACTTGAGAGCCCAAGCTACTCTCTGCAGTAAGGGAGCAGGGAGAATTTGATGGGAAGGTGATTGTATGAAGCAGCAATTAGTAATTTGAGTTCTCTGCTAAAATGAACATCTCCAAAGCAGACCGGTAGCTGATTCGTCTTCATCCCTAGCTCCCAGCACATGGTTTTGTGAAATTTGTCATAACAAATTTCACAATTTCTCCCCCTGCCCCCACCCCCTCCTTACCACCCACTCCACCCCTTCCTCTCCCCCCACCCCCTCGAATCCCAGCAGAAACTCAAATAGAAGTCTTTACTATAAATTTTTCATGCCTTCAGTTTCACTTATGACTGTTACGAGTCCATTATGATTCTGTTATGGCAGTGCTATGAGTCATTCATATTCTTTTGGAATTTTTCTTGATCAACTAGGAGGTGGCAGCTGAAAGCAGTGTAACTTTTCCCTATAGTTCATTGTTCAGAAAGCTGCTTACAGATTGATCTAAAATGATTATGCCATCGTGTAACTTATCAGCATAATCACAATTAATAAAAATTAATGATAATGACTCTAATTGTAGTGATAGTAGAGCCATAAGTGAAATTGTGAAGCTGTCATAATTATAATAAAGACTTTGATGTTTATAAAACACTTTTAAATAGTTCTTAATTTTGGTCCTCTTTAAGTAGATATTATCCACATTTTATGAACAAGGAGTTGGATGTGGTGGTGCATGCCTGTAGTCCCAGCACTCAGGAGGCAAAGGCAGGAGAATCATGAGTTTTGAGGCCAGTCTGGGCTGCATAGTGAGTTTCAGGGCCATCCTGGGCTTCACAATGAAAACCTGTCTCAAATACACATATGGAGAGATTGAGTAACCAGCGCTAGGTCACTGTATGAAGTAGAGCTGGGACATGAATCCTGCCCTATGACACATTGTGCTTCTCCTTTGGCAATCTTTCCTCTTCCTCTTCCTTTCCTTTTTCTACTCCTTCCATCACACTCTGTGCCCATCCTGTGCTCTGTTCTTAACACCTTTGAGAATTCCTGTTTAGATAGTGATTAATAGGTACGTGTTGCTGATAATCAATACTGTCGATATAACTCAGATCGTTACCTTATGAGAGTTTAAACTATGATCTCTCTCCCAGAGATGAAGAGGCATTCAAATGGTACGAAGAAGAGGAATTGTCATTGTTTATTATCACAGTCGTGTTTAATGACAAGAATACGTGTCAGAGATTTCACTGTTGTGCAACATCATAGAGTATACAAAAACCTAGATGGTATAGATGGACTCCTACACACCCATGAGATTATATATATATATATCTATATATATATATATATTATATATATATATATATCTTTCCATTGTTCCACGGGGTCATGATGAATGAAACAGAGAGATTCAAGTCAATGAGAACATGGCAGATACAATCAGAAAAACTCAGTAAACACGAGATGTGTGAGGCTGTCACTAGATAACATGTCACACTATTTTATACTAACCTTTTTGAAGCTTATTACTCTAATGATAATGGTAAAAAGTATAGTATAGTAAATACATAAACTAGTAACAGTCATTTGTTTATCATTTTCAAGTGTTATGTACTGTATGTCATTGCATCCGCTGTACATTTATATGACTGACAGCACAGGAGTTTTGTTTGCTCCAGCATCACCACAACCATGTGAATAACATGCTGTGCTGTGACATTTAGATGGCTAAGATATCAGTAGGCAATAGGAATTTGTTGGCAACATTATAATTTTATGGTACTACCATCATAAATGTGGTCTGTCATTAACATACATTTTTATGTAGTGCATGCATATACTGTTATCATTCACAAGATTCAAGGAAAATATGCAGTGATTGGTAGTCTAAAAATAAAATTGTCATAGAGTATGCTCATATTATATGACAAGCCTTGTAACAGCCACTTAAAGCTTGTTAGTGATTTCTTTCTTTTTTTTTTTTTTTCCTTTTGATAGTACTGGGGTTTGAACTCAGGGCTCCACACTTGCTAGACAGGTGCTTTACCACTTGAACTTTACCACTTAAACATCACTCCCAGCCCTAATTCTTTATTTTGTAGATGAGGATCCTGAAGCTGAGAGTTCAATAACATGCCCAAGGTCATGTGGTTCTGCTGATCCAAATCCTATGTTAACCTTTACAGTAGCCCGGCTCAAGCTATTGTCATACAGATGTGTATTGAGAAGAAAGCCTGATCCTCCCTGGCAGGAGAGGGAGGTGCACTTTAATACTGTGTGAAGAAGACAGTCATCTACCTGGCCTATCTTTGATTGTGCTATTGAGAGGCCAAGATTGGAGCAAGAGAAGGCTTTTCTTCTGACTCTGAGGCCATTTCCCTCATGATAGTGAGCCACAGTTCTCTTAAGTTAGTAACTAAACGAGTCATTCCTGTGCTATTGGAAGTTTGTCTTAACTTGGTGGCTGTAGCTAAAAGCAGTGCAGCTTTTTTTTTTTTGTCTTTTCTTTTTTTGGTGCTGGGATCGAACCCAGGGCCTCGCGCGTGCTAGGTAAGTGCTGTACCACCGAGCTACATCCCAGCCCAGCAGTGCAGCTTTGCCCTATAGTTCATTGGTCAGAAAGCTGCCTACGATTAGTCTAAAATGATCATGAAAAAAAAAAAAAACTCTAGAGATACACAGAGTGATAAGGTGCCAAAGCCTCCCAGGATCAGAACTCTGCTGACCCCTTCAGTCCCATCTCTGCTCACAGCTTTTGCACTCCAGTTCAGAATAGTCATACTGCACTACAGTCCCCACAGCTCTGTTTTCTGTTGACTATTGGCTTTACATGTTCACTCCCTCTGTCCTACTTTTTACCCATCAGGTGACTAATCCACTCTTCATTCTTTTTATGTATTTATTTATTTTTGGCGGTACTGGGGTTTCAGCTCAGGGCTTTGTGCTTGCTAGGCAGGTGCTTTACTGCTTGAGCCATACCTCCAGTCCTTTTTCTCTCTGGTTGTTTTTGTCTTGTTTTTGGCCTAGGCTGGCCTGGACCATAATCCTATTTTATGCTTCCAGCCATAACTGGGATGATAGGCGCACACCACTGTGCCCAGCTATTGGTTGAGAAAGGGGTCTTACAAACTATTTGCCTGGCTGGTCTTGAACTACACGATCCACCAGATCTCAGCCTTCCAAGTAGCAAGGATTATAAGTGTGAGCCACTGGCACTCAGCTTCACTTTTCATTCTTTACACTCCAGTTCATTCATTTATTTAGTCATTCAGCAAATACTTGTTGAATATCTATCAAGTATCAGGTATGGTTTTAGGTGTGAAGAGGTAGCAGTGAATAAAATAGGCATTCACATACCCTGTATGGAACTTCCATTTCTGTAGTGTGTATTGAATAAGCATAGTGTATGAGACCTCAGAGAGTGAAGTGTGTGAATAGGGGAGTTGTCAGGAATGGCCTCACTGGATGTTTGAACAGGCTCAAGGAGGTGAGGGAGTGAGCTATGTGACAATCTAAAGAAGAGTGTTCCAACCAGAGTGTGCAGCCATCTGAGGCAGGAACTCACTTGTCACAGTTATTGCCCTCACTCAAAGTCCTCTGAGGATTTGATTTGTTTTCCTACTTGCTCTCATGTTTACCTCTAAAGTAGCACTTAATTACATCACATTGTATTTGTCCATGTCCATCCTATGTATTTGTTTCCCAAACTTGGGTGTGGATTTCTTGAGAGCATAGAATCCTGATTCTTTTCTGACTACTCCTTATGATCTGAAATGAGTGAAGAAGCAGTGCAGCTTTGCCTACAGTTCCTTGCCCAGAAAGCTGCCTATTGATTGGTCTAAAATGATCATGCCATTCCAGTCAAAAACTAATTCTATCTTTATTGACTAAATAAGGCCTAGTTCTTACAACCTGCTAAGTTTTACAAATGCTTTTGTAAGATAGAGCTTGGATGATGTGATTGGAGGGAAAAAAAATCACATTTGTTTGGCTTGAATTCCCTGCTTGGGCCTCTGAGAAGTGGAACATTGGTTTTCTTTGTGAAGAGGATTTAGAAGCTTCCATTGTCAGTAATGGCAGACCAGCCACTCAGGAAAATGTGGATGAAATATCATAAAGCTCTTTATAGCTGAATTTGCAAGAAAGTAAGATAAATCCACAGGGGCCTGGAAATAAGAACAAAGTGAAAACTACAGTAGTTGGCCCTTTAACCTCCCCTCAGCTGCCTTGGGTGTTTGCTGGTCTCACCTAAAAGCTTAGGATTTAACAAGCTTGCTGTCACAGCACCTGAAGGTGTAGGTCCACAAAGGTTAGACTAGCTGGAATTGAGATCTCTATGTGAAGCTGCGTCCCTTGAAAATCTACACCACTGTTGGGTACACACCCTCTGATAGAGTAGAGTAGGACAAAAAAAAAATCTCCCTGCTGACAAAGATGATTGTTTTTATCCTCGCTCCAGTATAGGGAGAAAGTCTCCCAAGAGAGTTGTTAACCACAGACATTCACTTAAATGAATTGGGTTTGCATTTATATTACCTAAATAATCTAGGAATCCCAAATCAAGAGACTGACATTAAAATTCAGTCCAGGCTGTTCAGACCCATGGATGCTAGGCAGAAGCAAATGGAGAACCTCTCTGAGAGAGACAGTTAACACATGCTGCACAGGATTCCCACAGAGTTTGGAGAACAGATTTATTAAGAGAGCATATTGCTTGCCTTGTGCTGTTGAGCCCATATATAAAGCAATAAAACTTTGAGAACATTGGTATCCCATCTGTACCCTCCAGTAGTGGAATGACAGACAACTTGTATGCAGGCCAGCATGGACACACATTGAGCTACCTCCTATCCTTGCAGAGGTCATGGAAGAAGTGACATCGTGCTCCTTGAACAGCCCTCTGTTCCAGCAAGAAGACAAGGAAGGGATTACCTACCGGATCCCAGCCCTGCTCTACGTTCCCCCCAAACATACCTTCCTGGCCTTTGCAGAGAAGCGCTCCACAAGCAGGGATGAAGATGCTCTCTACCTGGTGCTGAGGCGAGGGTTGAGGACTGGGCACTCAGTACAGGTGACTCATCTCAGTCTGGGCCTGGGCCTCATCTCCTTTCTACAGAGCTCAGTGTACTTTGGGGTCTGGGCCTTTTCCCATCACTGCTGGAAGAGCCCTTTGGGAAGTTGAGAAGGAAAAAACAGTAAAACCAATAGTTTTCACTGAGTGCTTATGGTGTACAAGGGGCACATTGGATCTTCACAGCCATTGTGTCAGTCACATGTTACAAATAAGGAAACTGAGGCTCAGAGAGGTTGCCATTTGTTCAGCACGCAGCTATAATACAATAGTAGAAGCAGGCTTCAGACTCATTCTCAAACTTCAGAGGCTTCTATGATTCATTCAGATCCAGCTAACATGTGGTGTACGTTTCATTTCTATTCTCTTTAATCCTCTTAAGTCACCCAGGGAAATAAGCGTTGTTAGTTGAGTTTTGCTGGTGAGGAATCCTGGTGTTCCATGAGGCAAGTCACTTATTTTAAGACCACATTTGGTGAATAACAGAGTAGGGAGGGGATAATAATATTATTATTACTATTAAATGCTTTATGTGTGGTACATACTATTATCACCATTTTATAAGAGGAATCTGGGCCTGAGAATTAAAGTGACTTGCTTTAGCCATACATCTAGTAAGTGGCAGAACTAGAATTGGAACCCTTGCCTGTAAGTAGCACAGTTTTACTGAATCGTTAGTGCAGAAAGAATGGTTGTTGCTCTTGGATCTGGGAGCCACAGGTGTATTTCAGTTCCCATATTTCTTGGTGCTACTTTCCTCCCGAGCTGTCTGAAGTGAGGAGCAAGTGAAACAATGATTTTGAGAGTCTGTTGTAAAACATACTTAGCTGTGTCTCTTTCTGTGTATCTGTCCATCTATAGATCCACCTATCTATCCATCCATCATCCATCCATCCATCCATCTTTGTAATAGTTACTTAAATCCCCCTAATCTTCTCTGCTTTTCAACATTCTCACCATTATACCTCATGTCCATAGTAGATGCCTTGGTCTGTTAACAGTCCAAATGTTATTCTGCCAAACATGGATCTTGACAGCAACCTCTATCTTCGCTTGTAATAACATTGGCTCATATTTCCCTATGGAGAAATTTTTTACTCCAGGAATTTCCAGTCCCTATCCTTTTACCTTGCCTCATTGAGTCTTCATGGCTTCCCTGGAACAGACAACCAACTTGTATAACTGGCCTCCATAGAAGCCCAGCCCTGCAACCCAGCAGAGTGTGGAGTTCTAGTATTTAATTTTCTCTAGGACAGGCATTACCTGTGCTTATGTTGCACTGCTTTCTGTCACAGCCAATGAGCTGTTAAGCATTAAAACAAAATTGGACCGTACCTGTTACGTAACCTCATTGCCCAGAAGTCACATACACTCACAAACTTACCCACTTTAACCCATTCCCTCTTTATTTACTTTCATTCTCTGATTTACGTAGCTCTAAAATTTAGTTTTGCTTATCTTTAATCTATGTATTCTTTATGTCTGGCTTCTTCAAACATGTTTTTGAGATTTATCCAAATTGTTGTGTGCAGCTGTAATTTGCTCATTTTTACCTTCTATAATATTCCATTGTATGAATGAATATATTACAATTAAGTACACCTTCTACTGTTGGGCATTTAGGTTAGCTGTTAAGAGTATAGATAATGCCACTGTGAATATTCCTGCACATTTGTTTTGGTCCTATGGGCATGTAATTTTTGGTAGGTATCTCTAAGAATGGAATTACTGGGTCATAGAGCATATGTATGTCCCACCAAAGAAGATAATGACAACCAGTCTCTGAGAGTGCTGGCTATGAAGACTGGTCTGCTTCAGTTCTTTACTTAGCTGCTAGGATTTTGCCCTTTAAAGTTTAATTTCAAATCATGTGAGATTTACCAGTGCCTCTAGTTCTTGTCCTTCTGCCTGATAGGACTGTGAAATGAATTGCTCAGCATCTCAGCCTTTCATTTATGTCTTTGAGAATTAATAGGGATACCCTGAGGGAAAAGGGACTTGAAATACCAGCTGCAGTCTCTGAAAGCACTCTCAGTTCTTAGGCTGTAATTTATCTTTTCCTTATTTTCTCTTTGGTGCTTACAAACATATATTTTGGGCTTTGTTTTTAATATTTTATCTCTTTTCTAGTTCTGAGCAGAAATGTTTGTCCAATTACGTAGTTTGTGGTACCAGAACTCCTTTTCATCTACATTTCTTCTACAAAAAAACCTAGCAAAACCACATACATTCTGTGTTTTGGCTTGTTTGTTTAATATTTAATAGAAATCTTTCATATCAATATATATGGGAAAACTCTTTTGTGATTATGATTATTATTATTATTTGGTACCTTTTTTTTTTTTTTTTTAACTCAAGGCCTCATGCTTGCTAGGCAGGCACTACCAAACCTTTATCCCCCAACCCTTTTGGCTTTGGTTATTTTTGAGATAAGGTCCCACATTTTTCCTGGACCTCCATCTTCCTGCTTGTGCTTCCCTGGTAACTGGGATAACAGGTGTGCACCACCACGTTCAATTTTTGTTGTTGAAATGGGCTCTTGTGAACTTTTTGCCTGGGTTGGCCTCAAATTGCCATCCTCCTGATCTCCACTTCCCAAGTAGCTAGGATTACAGGCGTGAACCTGAATCTTCCATTTTTTAAACTCATGTATTATGTGGTGACTTAACCATTCCCCATAGTGAATATTTGGAATGTTTACAGTGTTTTACTCTTACAAGCAAAGCTAGAATGAAATCTTTTTTTTTCCAATTTTATAAAGAAAGGAGGTTTATTTAGCTTACCAGTGAATCATCAGATACATACTTTTTTTTTTTTTTTTTTTTTTGGTGCTGGAAACAGAACCCAGGGCCTTACACAGTGGTATACCCTAACCTATACTCTCAGCCCTTTATACCTACTTCATTTGATGAGCAGATATGTCTTAGGATAAATTTTCAGAATTAGGCATCCTGGGCAAGAGTAAATATATCTATAATTTTGATAGTCCTGCATAAGAGTTAAACAGTCCATCCCATATGTAAGGGAGTCTTTTTCTTCATATTTTTACCAACAGAATTTTATCAAGCTTTATGATTTTGACAATTTAGTAGATGAAAAATGCTGTGCTGGTTTAATTTTAATTTGCATTTGTTTTTTATGTGTAAGGTTGTTTTTTCTCTTTCTGTGATTTGTCTGATCTTGTCCTTGGCTCATTTTTATTGGGTTCTAGATATTTTCTTACCAATTTCTAATTAAGGAGATCAGGACTTTCTTTGTGATACATCTGATTTGGCATTATCTCACTGTATATTTTCAACAACTCCTCTGTGAGGATGTTATTAAATTCTCCACTTAACTGATGAATAAACTGAGGTAAAGTAAGGTTGAGTAACTTGCCCAGTTTTCAGTCATGATGAAGGCAGGGTTTGAATTAGGTGTCTCTAACTCCATGCTTCAGCTTTTAATTACATTGCTATGCATTGCCTCCCAGGGTAGCACAGGAAGGAAAAAAAAAATCACTGTCTTAAACTTCTTTCTGTTCCTTCCTGATTTGCTTGCCTTGCTTTTCTTCCTCTTCTCTTTCTTTCTTCCTTTTCTTTTCTTCTTCCTCCATGTTTCTTTTTTGTAAAATTTTATTTAGCTACTATCATGTGCCAGGCACCAGAGATACAAAATTGGTATAATTTGAAGTCAGTCATCAAAAATCTCATAGTCTAAGAAGGGAGACAGTTTATAACAATTTATAATGTTATCTAACTGCTGTAGTAGACCCTTGGCATCCGCAAGTCTGTGGTTCTAAGGAAACTCATTTTTCCCACAACACTGCCCAACTTCCACTAAAGACATGCCGCTTTCAACGCATCTCAAATTTTCACTTTATCACTTCAGTTAAGCACATTAATTTTACCTTGCTTTTTGGCCATGCATATTTTCACTAAATTAAGGGCAGGGAAATAGCAGATTACATTGATGATCATGTGGGGCTGACAGAGCTTCTCTGGGAATTAAAACTTTTGTCTTTGAAATTTCTTTTGATTTTTTGTTTGTTTGTTTGTGGTGCTGGAGTTTGAACTCAGGGCCTACACCTTGAGCCACAACACCAACCCTATTTTTGTGAAGAGTTCTTCTGAGATAGGGTCTCACCAACTATTTGCCTGGGCTGGCTTGGATCTACAATCCACCTGATCTCTGTCTCCTGAGTAGTTAGAATTACAAGCGTGAGCCACTGGTGCCTGGCTCTTTTGATTTTTTAACATTTATTTTTTGACCACAGTTAATAAAAACCATGTGTAATCCATGAATAAGGTGAGAATTTACCGTATGATTTAAGAGGAGAAGGTGTTTCACAAAGGCTTTTGAGTTGGGTGTTATAGTATGATAAAGCAAAGAACATTCTAGACAGAGGACACAGAATGAACAATATCTAGCACTGTTTCTTTCCAGCTTTTCAAGTCATCTTATAATTATTTGAGACTTCACAATTTTGTAGATTTTAATATCATTTATTTCTTATGTGTGAAAAGTACTAGTACTTTTAGTGAGCCCCATGTTTTTCTCTCTCTCTCTTTTTCTTTCTCTCTCTCTTCCCCTTGACTAGTGGGGACCCCTGGAGCCATTGATGAAAGCCACATTACCTGGACATCGGACAATGAACCCCTGTCCTGTGTGGGAGCAGAGAAGTGGCTCTGTATACCTGTTTTTCATCTGTGTGCAGGACCATGTCACTGAATGTCGACAGATTGTGTCAGGCGAGAATGCTGCCCGCCTCTGCTTCATCTATAGTAAAGATTCTGGCTGCTCGTGGAGTGAGGTGAGGGACTTGACCGAGGAAGTCATTGGACCGGAGGTGAAGCACTGGGCCACATTTGCTGTGGGCCCAGGTCATGGCATCCAGCTGCAGTCAGGGAGGCTGGTTATCCCTGCATATGCCTACTATTTCTCACACCGATTCTGTTGCTTTCCACTACCATGTTGCACCAAGCCTCATTCCCTGATGATCTACAGTGATGACTTAGGGGCCACATGGCATCGTGGCAAGCTCATTAGGCCCCTGGTAACAGGAGAGTGCCAAGTGGCAGAGGTGACGGGAAAGACTGGTTGCCCTGTGCTCTACTGCAGTGCCCGGACACCAAACAGATGCCGGGCAGAGGCTCTCAGCACTGATCTTGGTGAATATTTTCAGACACAGGCCCTAAACTCAGGGCTTTGTGAGCCTCCCCATGGCTGCCAAGGCAGTGTAGTGAGTTTCCAGCCTTTGGAGATCCCACATAGACACCAGGACCCTAGTGGCAAAGATGTTTCCACTACTGAGGAGAGGCTACTGTGGGATAGTTTACCAAAGCTGAAGGAAGGAGCTGGAATACTGTCAGAACCATGGCTCTTATACTCACACCCAACCAGTAAGAAAAAGAGAGTCAACCTAGGTATCTACCTCAACAAGAATCCTATGGAGACTGCTGACTGGTCCCACCCCTGGATCTTGCACAGTGGGCCCTGTGGCTACTCTGATCTGGCTGCTGTGGAGGAGCAAGGCTTGTTTGGGTGTTTGTTTGAATGTGGTATTGAGCAGGAATGTGAGCAGATTGCCTTTCGCCTGTTTACAGACCGAGAGGTCCTGAACCACACACAGGAGCAGTAGAAACCTGAGCCAATTCAAGCCTGAATAGTTGACTGAGGACCCAACTTTCCATAGATGGTAATGGCAACTATAGCCAGGATGACAGAGGTTACTGACATCTACAGTTAATATCCTTATTTTTTTTTTACATCTCCAAAGAGCAAAATGAAAATTTTTCCATAGATACTGCAGCAGAAAGATTAATGAACTCGGAGTTAGGAAACCATGATATGGTCTTGGCTTTGCCACTGGCCTGCCTTAGGACCTTGGACGTGTTACCTGAACTCTCTGGGCCTCAGGTTCCATTTGTAAAATGAGAAGATTGGTCTATGATTTCTCATCTTCCCATTACTGCATGCTCCATGATCAGGAAGTCCTGGCTGCATAAAGGACTGATCTCAGAATGGAAGTCAGAGGACTCCCTTCAAATAGACTCACTCTTCATCCAAGTGTGAGGTTACATGCAGGTGTTGTGGCAAGAAGAGAGATCTGGATTGTTTGTTCCATTTTTGATAACAAAAATACTCGTCTTTCTAATCACGCTCAGAGCTCTGCCAGCTCTCTACCCTAGAAGAACTGAGTGAGGCAGCAGAATCATGAGGTCACCATGCTTCACAGCTCTGCTTAACCTTCCCTTCCTCATCCAGGAAACATCATTTCCTAAGGAGAAAAATGAGAATCTCAGTGCCAGTCATCCTTGATAATGGTGCTTATTGCTTTTGGTGTCATTATCTCCATGAAACATGAGCCCGAAATTCATTTATCAGAATACTTCCTGATGGGAAAGGCCATGGATTAGTACTTTGAAACATTGGACAAGCTGGCCATCGTGGTTCTTGCCTGTAGTCCCAATTACGTGGGAGACCGAGGCAGGAAGACTTCTTGAGCCAGGAGTTCAAGGTCAGCCTGAGCAACGTAGTGAGACCTCAAATAAGTCGGACTGGAGGAGTGGCTCAAGTGGTAGAGTGCCTGCCTAGCAAGTGTGAAGCCCTGAGTTCAAACCCCAGTACTGACACATTAAATCATAAATAAATAAATAAATAAGGTAAAAAAACAAAAATTGATAAAACTTCCAACAGTGTTCAAGTTGCTCACAGTTTTGAGGCCAGAAAAGGTATCAACTTTAAGGGAAAAAGTATTGCTGACAGGTAGTGTGTAGATGTAAGGCTATCAGGGTGATGGCAGCTCCTAATGTCATTGTTTTCGTGTATCTCAAGTGCACCTGGAGTCATCTGTTCCAGGGCTTGTCCAGGCTGCTGGGTTGCTCCCAAGTTTGTTTAACTGAGAATGTTGTTGTGACTCAGCAACTCCTTTACCTGGGGAGAAGGTCTTCAACATTAGGAAAGTCCCTGGACCTCCAAATCTCTGAATCAGGCTAATTTGTTTGGCTTTCCTGGAATCATTACTTGTGAAGCAGTGACTCCTCTTCATCTAATAGCTGTGGGGTTGCACTTGGCCGGTGCTGAATTCCTCAGATAATAGCAGGTCATTTGCTTCTTATCTTAGATGGTTTCTCCAATAGCCTATTATGGTAACAGAAATTCTGTTATGGGAGATTTGATTTTTGTTCCTATTTTTATTCCTATTTCAGGAAGATAATGCCTTAAACTGGTATCAGATAAATATATTTGGTCTGGGTGATAACCAGAGAGAGCAAACTGAGTTATGTGGTGTCACCTAGGAGACTAGAGTTGCAGTTTTACCTCTCAGGTGGAGGAGAGTCCTACAGGATAAAAATAGATGAACTCTACCTACTTCAACATATTGCTTCAGACTGTGGCTTAGAGTGGCTTTAAAAAGTTCCCTTGGCCTCTCTTATATTTACCACAGTAATTTTCCCAATATATGATTATGATTCCTCATTCACTTATGTATATATTTATCTAAGTATTTCTCCAGTGACTAAGCATAAAGCAAGGTACTTTCTCCCATCCAAGTACTAACCAGGTCCAACCCTGCTTAGCTTCCGAGATCAGAGGAGATCAGGCGCGTTCAGGGTGGTATGGCCATAGACAAGCAAGGTCCTTTCTATTACTGTTCTTCGTTCAAAATCATTTGTGGGTTCCTGTTGCTTACTAAAGGATGTTTATAATTAGCCTGACATGCATAACCTCTCAGTTTGGGGGTAAGATAATGCATAAAGATTTCCCTCTACTTTCTCACTATCAAGGAAACCTCTTTCAACCTGGCAAGTGAAGGGCGTCTAGGGATGGGTAGGGTTGGTAGTGCACAAAGGAATTGGGGAAGGGGAGAGAATTAAAAGGGCAGCCCCCTTGTGAGGTAGAAAGTCCAACTAGATGGGGTAGGGAAGATGGCTAAGTTCTCCAGCCAAGGAATGAAGATCAAGGGTTCTTTGGGATTGTCCAAGAAGGGAGGCAAGGAAGGGACTTCAGTCACATGCCAGTGGGCCAGACATGTTTAATATTACCACTCATAAGATGCCTACCTCTAAATTGCTCTCCCTTATTACTTCCCCCTTGTCTTCTGTTTGTTTCTCCTTAATGACTAGCAGTGAAACTCATTTTTTTTTTAAATCTGTGTCATTAATTTCCTGAAAGAATGGAATACTCCAGATCTGGATAATTTCAGTCACATTTAAATGATGAAGATAGTAGTTACTAATGATATTCATCAATACAACGAAAAAAATCAAAACATAGTACTGTTGAAAACAGCTTTAAAACATAGTGGGTTTTTTTCTTCCATTTTGAAGTACTGGGGACTGAACACAGGGCCTTGGTTCTACCACTTGACACCCCCAGCCTTAAAATAGTCCTATGGGGAACAGCAGATACATATCCATTGTCATTAAACATCATCACCATTATGTTCTGGTATGTGAAAAAGTAAGATCACTGATAATGGAGTCAGTAGGATTTTGAAGAAGCAGACTTATTTTGTATTAATGAGGTTTATCTCCAGGTTCTAGGAAATGTAATTCTGGAGCAATTTGGGGGAAACCACAGCATTTTTAAAAGAGGTGTAGCTCAAGTGGTAGAATAGCTGCCTAACAAGCATAAAGCTCTGAGTTCAAACCCCAGTACAAAAAAAAAAGTGATGTCCACAAAAAAAAATTAAAAACAAAATCAACACTGACCTCACTGATATGCTTTCAAATTTCAGGGTAAGGAAATGAAACTTTGCTGTTGTAGATACCCGCTATTTCCAAAGGCTCACTAGAGAAGCTTTGATTTCAAAATGAATAAGTAAGCTCTGTTCCACTTCGTCTAAAGATTGTAAATTCATTTCTTCCTGTGGTGGCTGCTGTGTAAATTCACTACAGTGGGGTCCACAGATAAGACTCCTTTCTAACACAAAGACAATCTGTTCCAAGCTCCTAACCCTCTCTACCTCTTGGTCTCAGAGGCAGAGCACAGAGAGAGCCTTGGTCTGTGGAAGGAGTGACCATGGTGACTAATCTCGAAGTGTGTGTGTGTGCAGGACCCCATGCTCAGGTAGGGCATTTGCAAGTGGAACACAGGGCATCTGAGCTGCGCCCTCTAACAATGAAGCTTAATTGGGAAAGGGCCTATGTGTTTATTTCAGAAACAGTAAGAAGTGAAGGTTGGGGATACAGGAAGTACAGGATGAGACTAGAGAGGAGCAGAGTGGGTATTGGTGGCTGTGAAGAGAAAGAAGAGCAGATAGGAGTCCTAGAGCCTTTAGGAAGAGAATGTGGCCCAGACATGGGGCTCAGCTGGAGAGGTGTAGGTTGTAGCTACTCTGAAGAAGAGATAACAACAGGCTGGAGCTGTTCTCTGAAAGCCATAGAAGAGAAAGATAGCTGCACAGGCCTGCAGCTTAGCCAGCAGAGGAGGTCCAACCCAGGCCTGGTTTGTACCTTTAATCTGGCTCAACTTGTTCATTTTCCAAGTGGCCAACAAAGATAACTGCAGGCACTCCAATGCTGTGCCAATACTTGAGGGCTTCAGGGCTCTGAGACCTAGCCCATGCCACAGGTAACCTTTCTGAGCCCATTTCAACCACCTTTAGGTTGATAGAGTAGGAACAATAGGGCAGGTGGCGACAACTGTGAAGAAAGGAGGAAAACAGATGGGAGGCATAAATAGAGTACCGTGTAGCTTCTGGTCCTTTGCCCACAGAAGCCCTCACACTCCTGTGGGCTCTTAGAATGGATCTGTCCAGCACACGTGGCCCATCGCTGGAAGTGCAGAAAAACCTGAGGGGCCTCCATCCATTTAACCTGGTGGCCCTGCACATGCTCCTTAATCCCACAGTGCCTAACAGTCACCTCAGGCTTGTGTTGTTTTGTGCTTTATTTGGACCTGTGTTTCCTGGTCACCAGTTTCCACTCAGAAGCCAAAGGATATCATGCAGCTGCAGTTATAGGTAAGAAGCTTTTCACTCTGCCTATTGGGTAATCCCATAGAGGTCATCCTGAGGCTGAAGGATTTGATATTTCCCCTTTAGCTGGGTTTGGCTACTTACTCTTTTCCAGTAAGCTGTGAGGTTTTTTCCACTGCATTATTCAAAGAGGTGTTGTGCTATTCATCTCTGGGCTGCCAGAGTTTGTAGTCTGAGCCTTCCTTTGGTCCTTTTCACAGGCTACTATATATTATTGTCTGTGTTATGTTCTCTAGGCCTCTGCTATGATGGGGACTCCTATCTGTCTTTTTACCTTGAATCATAGTGACTAATCTATAAATATGCTTTCTCTGTCACATTCTGAATTCCCTGCAGGTCCACTGGACCCAGCATAGAATCTGGAGCAGAGTAGACAGCAGAAAAGATAGGCTGAATGAATGAGTCAAAGCTTGTTGGCCTTCTGGAATATAACTAAAGAAGCCTGGGGTATTCTGCCCAGTGAGGATGTTACGTTCCTCTGTAGGTTGCTGAGCATTCAAAACCTACGGAACACCTACCCTGAATGAGTGTTCTCAGTCCTGGCCTACTTCCAGGTCAGTCACAGTGGTGCCTGGGAGTGGGCTTTTTTTTCTGGGTTGAGCTTGGTTCAGCCTGGATGTCCCAGGGATCACAGACCAAGCCTAAAGCCAGGTCATGATGTGTGGGGTTCTCATTTCACTGTATTCCCTCTGTCGCTGATTGGATTTTCTGTAACTGCCACTCCTCCAGGAGATGATGAGCTCAATGAATTCTGCCATGTCTTGGCTCTGTGGCACCAAGTACCAGAAGTATCTCTGTACCATAAAAATTACCTTCATACTTAAAACCAAGAAAGGTGAATAAAGACCTTAATTCTAGTGACTACTGTTTTTTGTTGTTGTTAAGGAAACTGAGATGATTATCATCCTATTTAGTTTGAATTCAACTTCTTTTTAAAAAATGAGTTTGAGGCCACTTCTTTTAATAAGAACTTTTACTTCTGGAAAACTTTTAATAACAATCCTTTGTACTTTGAAGTACTTTACAGTTATCAAACTGTAGCTGAAGAGGCTCCAAATATTTACCTCAGGTGAAATGGGTGATCATCTTAACTTCACTCCTGATTTTTAACTCAACTTTGTGTGTGTCCCATTGGGATCTTATAGGCACTACTAGATTTGGCTAAATATTTTAGCCTAACTCCCTATATTCTATCAGTAGGCCAGTCTGTTTTCTTAAAACAAATTCATTTTGGGAAAAGTATCGAGTGGGCATTTTTTGTTGTCATAATACCAAGAGTCCCATAGTGGGAAAAATGCTACCAGTTTACATCTTAAACTAGGTTTACAATAATTATTTACATGATTATTTAGAAAAGAAATCTAGTGATCTGCTTTTTTTAAAATATGTTTTATTAAATTGCCTCGTGTCTGAGGGGGTCTTTGGACTTAAAAGGAAAACTTAAGTCTACTATAGTGACTCAATTTATTGAACTCATAGCCAGTAAAACATGAAAAACTCTTAAATATTTAAACAAAAATAAATTTGATTAAATGCCCCCAAACACCAGTCCCAATGACAAATTTATTAGAACTGATCTTTTTGACCATTTCAGACACCATAAATAGTAGATAAAGCAAAATTAATTCTATTATTTTAAAACATACCATTATTCCGAAATAGAGCACAAAAGTACTAATGCCATGAATTTAACTTAGTTATTTATGCCTTTTGGAAT